GTTGGAAACCCGCCGAGCTAAACGAAAGCACACGAACTTAATGGTCGTCTTGAGAGACTCTGAACTAGCTGTAAGGTTTGGAGGTCTTACACCAGAGTCGTAGGGTGTATTTATGAAGAGAATAAACTCCTATGAACGCTGGAAGTGCTGAAGCTGTGTTCTACTGAGAAAGAAGTATATCTGCTAACAAGATTCCTTGCATTTTTTTTTCTTGAAGCTCCTGTAGTGTTGCAGATGTCTTCTGTGCTGGCTTTTCACTTCATAACCAAGGCCTGAATTGCCTATTAGTTTCATGCTGGCTGGGGGGTGGAGTTAAGCAGTAAATGCGTTTGCTAAGAATAAATTCTAGTGAAAATTTCATTAACAGTTCTGCCTATGCTGGCAATCTAGACCCTTGTCAAGCACACGTGTCTGTTGTATTGTGACTGTCAGTGACTTTGCCAAAGCCTGTAGTGACAGGATAAGGGGTGTTGTCTTTAAGCTGAAAGAAGGTAGATTTAGATTGGATATCAGGAAGAAATGCTTCCTGGAGAGGGTGGTGAGGCACTGGAACAGGTTACCCAGAGAAGCTGTGGATGTCCCATCCCTGGAAGTGTTCAAGGCCAGGCTGGATGAGGCTCTGAGCAACCTGGTCTAGTGGAATGTGTCCCTGCCCATGGCAGGGGGGTTGGAACTAGATGGTCTCTTCCAACCCAAACCATTCCGTGAATGAGTTTTCTTTGTGCTAGCTTGCTCAGAAATTATTGTCTTGTTCTTGCTCAGTACCTACTACCATGATCCTGCTTACCTCTAAATAATTAAACCACAAATAGCTAATCTTAACTATCTTTTTTTCAGTAGAGAAAACCATGGAAGGAAGAACATCGTCTTCAAGTCGTGTCAGTGTAAGTCTTCCACCAACTTGCAACAATTGACTTTGTGACTGTGGGTATCCTAGGGTGTTCTGATGTGTTTGCACAACCAAATTCCTTCTCCAGTGTCCAGCTTTTGCTTTGTGGGAGCACTCTTTTGTCAGAAAAAGTTTATCCTGGTAGCGGTCAATAGTAATGTCTACTGTTGAATATGCATTAATACATGTTAGACTTAATGTGTGATTTCACATAAACAGTATGTTTTCCAGGATATGTTAAGACCTAAGCTAACATCTTAATACTTAAGTGTAGTGCTCAATTAAGTAGAATAGTTGCATAACTGCATAATACTTAGTTATCTGCAGAGATATGTTCAGAGACTACTTAAGCTAGTGCTTATTTTCTCTAAAATACCCCTTTTGGCAGTAGTTTCTAGTAGTGGAAGCACTGGTGAAAACACTACACATAGCAACTGGTTTGATTGGGTAAGGTCTGGACTGCAGTGTGTTAGAAATAAGCTGTTTCCAGCACCTTGTTTATGTGCTTTCTCTGACCCTTGTTTCTGCAGGAGGGAACCATCAGAAAAGCACTGCTGGTTTAGATGAGGAGTTTGCTAAGTGCGTGTGCGGATGTATGTGTTGAGTTAGTCACTTTTATTAGGGAAAAGCTGAAGCAACTGCATGTGTTGCGCTTACCATAGATACAGACCTCTGTTGAGTTACCTCTTGACTTTGTGCTTGTTCTGTAAGTTGATTGTGGGAGCTGCAAATGAACATCTTAATGAGTGTAAGCATTGGGAAGGTAGTTTGTGGTGAGATGGAAATTTTGCTGATAAATGTATCTTGTGCTTTTTATCCCTTTCTGTCTGTCCACCTGTCTCTTCCTGTTTTCTGAGTCTGACTTTATCTGTTCTCAGTGTTATCTGTTACGTTATTACAGAGGTTATTTGGATCTCCGTAACTTCAAATGCATGTTAAAATTTTAGATCAATATTTGTTCTTAGGAAGCTTACAACAGAAACCACTAGTCAGGTGGAGTTTTGAAGTAAGAAGCTTGTACCTGGCAATTGATGTGCAGATCAGAAGAAAGGATTCTGACTGATGAAACGTGTTTATAGGCCACTTCTCAGAAAACATCCAAAACAAACCCAACAATCAAACAATCTAATTGCAGCCATTCTTGAGTAAGAAAATGTCTATTTGAATTCTTAAGTGTTGATTGAAAGGGGAGTTACTTGTATTAGAAGTTGTTGCCTGTGTGTAATGTTTTACATCCTTTATAACTGAGGAGTCATTGAAGGCGTATTTGTTATTACAGCGTTTGACCAGCAAATGCAGTGTGAGGTACTGAGTAGAAATTCAGGTCTAATTACTAGTAAAATACATCTTTTTTTCAAGGAAGCGTAGAGAAGGAATAAGAGCACTCACAATTCAAACTGAAGAATTGAAGGGTTATCTCATTATGGTACAGTATGCTTTGGTTATGGTCTGCCTGCCTACAGAGCTAATGGATGCAGCTTCTGTGGTAATTATTAAGTTGTTGGTGTTGCTGTTCTAAAGTCCTTGCTTGTAATTTCATGTTACAAGGCAAGTCACCTGGCGGCGTGCAAATTAAGTTCATAATACACTTGACAGTAGGCATGCTCGTTCTGGTTTTGCAAAGGTTGGCGATGACAGCAGCTGATACCATTTAGAGTATGTTGTAGTGTATTGATGCTAAACTGTTGTACCAAAATACTTGTACTAGTCTAAGATATAATTGCTCTTTATCCTGGATTTTTACTTTGAGAGTGTAAACCTGGTGTGGCACTCATCATGTCATTTAGCTGTTTTGTTTGCTCTTTATCATCAGCTAAGCTGTGATGATTAAACTGCAGTATAAACAAATCAGAGGGAATTAAGGAAACTGGGAGTGCTGTTAGATTTGTGTTCACCTTTTTGGCACATATTTGAAGTTGTAAAGCTAATGAAATAGGAAGAGCTTTTCCTTGCTTTTTAAGACAGTTCGTATGTTAAAACTAGCTCCTCACGGTATGACACATTATTTAGGATCAAGCATCCATGAGGAAGGCATTTAAATTAGTCACATGTCAGTGGTTCCTTTGCAACTTCGTTATTTTGCCTGACAGTTAAGAAAACTTTGGACACGGAGGTATGTCAGCTCGTAGCACCAATGGATAATTAAGTTTTATTATGTGTGTAACATCATCTATTTTCAGTTTCGTATACCAAAGAAGAAAACAAACACCAAGCCAGAGGATGTCCAAGTTCAGTCCCCTTTGGCGAGGCTCCCAGGCTCCCACCATTGGGACTACCCTTTAAAAGAGGTAAAGACAAGTTCTTTGGAGTGTAAAGCCAGCAGGAGAATGTTAAATGGGTTCTTGTTCTGTTTTGGAGGCTGGATTTCTTCAATAAGGAGTGCTGCCTTGTGACCAATACCTGACTCGGATTGTCTTGGAAAGAGACAAGGGTGTAGGTCTGAAACCTGCCTTCAAACACACACTTAGAGCGGTGGAAGACCCAGTGCTGTACTGCCAGCCTAAATTGTTAAAAGCAGGGTTGGTCTCTAGGTGTAGTTTGAAACTATTTTGAAAATTGTGAATATGAAGACAAATACAGTATTTTTTTTAAGTTGTCTTCTGATGTCTGAACTTTTAGGTTATATATAGGTCACTCACCAAATTTTTGGTTATGATATAAAAATAATTTTTACATTGACTTTTCCATTAGTCATTATTTCTATCCAAGAACTTTTAAAAGAATATGTTAACTAATGTGTGGCTTTTGACAGAATTTTAGATGCTAATACAGAAATAACTGATTGGTTTCAGTATGAAGACCAGAAGACTGTAAGAGTATTTATATGGCGTTTATCATAAGTGACTGGCTTGATCATCTCAGTCATGTATAGAAGCAAATATTTGCTTCTACAAATCTGTTCCAAATTCAGTAAGCATTTTTAAAATGCCAAGTTTTGGAAACATTTTGCTACTCTGTACTTCTTCAGCTCAGCACTGAGAGTTTGTTGCTGGTTTTAGTGGATTTGGAATCATGGGGCTGGTGAATGAGAACTCCCCTTAGAGGAGTTTTAAAAACCTAGTGGGGGAAGATAGGAGTATTTTTGACTTACAGTAGTGGTGATAATGTGACCCAGGTCTCTTGGAAGGCCTGGTCATTTGAGCACGCTGCCATACGAACTCACGGTGTGGTTGTGTGCTAGGCTGTCAATGCTGTAAGTGAGCAGAGCATCCTGTTACAGTCAGGTGTTGAAGTCACGAGTAATGTCTCCTGTGGTTACAAGCAGCAGCCTCTTCAGCAGAGCCAGACAGCACTTGGGTGAAATTCTTCCTGTCTTTCTCTCTGCCTCTGTAAAAGCAGTGATTAGATGGGATGAATTGACAAATCTTTTTTCTCTCTTGTTACTTCCTGTATATTGTCTAATTTTCCATTTCTTAATTTTCTTACCTGTGTCTATATTTCAGATTTTTCCAAGTCGTAGAGGGCTCCCTATTCTGTAAACACTGACTAGTCTTTATAGTTTACTTTAAAAGTAAAGATTGTTCAAGAGGTATCATAATTTAAAAAAGCCCCAACTTCTATCCCTACAAAGGCCTGTTCAGGTTGTGTTTAGTGTTGGCTTTGAGTGATATGGGCATATAGGTCTCTAATGTGCTTGAAGACTGGTGGTGTGAGGTGAAGTAGATGATATTTGAAGGTAAGAGGAGGGGAGAGCACCTTCAAGGCTGCCAGCTGTTTTAATAATGAGGGTATTTTCCCTTACAAAGCTGGCCCCTATGGTAGGGAAAAGATTGATTTGGGATGCACCTTCACTAAAGTATGTAAAATATGTGTGGGCATGAATTTTCTCAGATGCCCTTTCACTCCACACTTAAACAGAAATGAAGATAAGTTCATCTGCTTCAGCCTGACTGGCATAATTTTCAAACATCTGTTTGGATTATTATCTTTTAATATAAAAGAAGTGAGGAGAGACTAGGAGGAGGAGGCAGTAGCAGAGGGAGGATAGGTTTCTAGAATTACAGAAATAACTCTGTGTTCTGGTGAGGCTTTTCTTAATTAATTTGAAAATAAAAGTGCTTTCTGTTAAGGTAAGAGAATTCAGAAGTAGTGAAGTCTTCCTGTTGTGGGTTTTGCCACCCAAGTACCAAACCTTCAAATTCCTTTTCCTTCTCAAAATTTTGTATCTTTGAGTGGAATATATTTTGGTTAACTGCATGGACTTAAAGAAAGTAGAGGTTAACTTGTGTATTTGTGATTATGTAAAACAGGCCAAATATTTAAGTCCCTGTTTGGGATAGTCTGTCTTTAAATAGGCAAATAATTGATTTGTCACGTGTTGTTAAATTTCTTTAGGAGAAGAGTTCTGTTCGAGATCAGGTGGTACATAAGTGCTTTAAATGGAGCAAATTCATTCTTTGCAGAATTGTTGTATATATTTTCTGTGGCACTGCTTCAACATCTGGCATTGTTCCCCTTTTCTAGTGTAGTATCTGTTATCACATATTTATATCTGTTGGAACCTGCTAATTTTATTTGTTTTATTTCAGTGGAAATTAAGTGCCAGCAACAGAGAGCCTTCTGGGAAAGGAAGAAGGCAAAAGGACCGTGGCAGATGCAGCTCTAATAATGAAGAATCAGTTGGGTAAGAAGTCATCTCAAAAGTAGCTCTTCTCTGTTTGTATTCAGAGGTTTGTAATATTTCTTGCAGACGGGTATCGCTGGTCTCTAGCAAATTGTGTCATGCAGAGATCGTTGTCAGGCTGTTAGGTAGGCCATCTTCAGAGAATCATGTTTCAGTGGTTTTAATGACACTGTGAATTACGAAGCAACCATAACTCTTCTTGTTTTAACCCAACACAAGACTGTGACATTGCAGTGAGAATGCAACACCTACCAGAGCAATTACTGCTTGTTGACCTGCTTGGAATTACTTAGAGAGTAATGAAAGGTGTTCATTACTCTAAGTTTAAATCGTCATTTTAGCCCAACATGACTTAGATATTTAAGAAGTTTTCCAGATTATCTTGTCACTTTTTGCTCTGTAGTCCACGATCATTTAGCTGGCTTTATCAGCTCTTAAAAACAGCAACGAACAACCACCAAGCAAATAGAATGGTTAGTAGAAGGCAGTAAAGAACTATAGGTTTTTAACCTCTGTGCTGTAGTCAAGACACCTGAGTTAATAAGTAAGACACTGCCACTTCTTGGTGCTGTATTGCCAAGAACAAGTATCTTGGTTTCTTTGAGATTATGGCAGATTATTTAAAATCATCTTCCGTGAAGCTGTCAGGTAGGTAATTGTTTATCCAAGAGAATTTGCAAGCTGGTGGAGACGGATGGAAATGAAATGTAGAATTAGATCAATTGACAGCAGCTAGGAAGCATAATGACTTCATAATGAAATTAATTATATTTATCTTAATGAAGCAGTTGTAATTCCACAAATCATTTAAATCTAAACAAATAAGAGCATGCATTCTCTGCCCCATTTTCTGACTGGAACGTAGTTTGACCAGAAGTGATAGCTTGTGTGGGGGGTGGGGGCTGTTGAAAACGAAGTGCACAGGTAATGAAAATGCTTTGATGACAGCAGATGATTTTGACACTGCTGAATTTGCTGGTGTTGTGACCTGTGAATAATCATTGTTTAGCCTGTTCTTTATATTCAGAATGCTTCAAACTGTTGCAGGGAAGAGCTAAACCTGTAAAAGAATCTGAATTTATTTTTTCTACCTCCTCAGAGGCATAGCTGTCAGTTCACATGTAGTCAACTTGAAATGCTTCTCTTGGTAACAGCTGAGGGAGTGGCTCACAGGTTCACCCTAGCAGGGTTGAAAAGCTATGTTAATTGCAGTTGCATGAGTTTTAATTATGCTGTGGAACAGCTGATATCTGGTATCAATCTTTAAAGGTCTTTCAGTAAACTTTGAACTGACCTTTCAGTGCTGAGGAGCTTAAAAAAAAAAGCTACCTTTGGAAAACTACTGATACATATGTAACTTTTCTGTTTCATATGTCAGTTGGGGTATGTAAGAGACTTTTGGGTAGCATTTGTAGGCATTCAATCACTCTTACAAACATTCTTACCAGCACATTAGTGAGAAATTTAGACTGCGAAGGGACGTTGAATATTCAGATATTAAACTTACGCATTTTTCACTTACTGAAAAAAAAGGAGTGTGGCTAGAGCCTAGCTGCATGTTTACTGTAAAATAAGCTTCATCTACACTCTGCAATAAAGCTTGTTGTAAGTATTCCATTTGGATACCCAGTGTTTCTCAGTAAGTCAAAACCACACTGAACTCTTTGCAAAGTGGAAAGAGCATGCAGGTTCTGAAGAGGTAGTGTTTGTTGAGCAAAAGTATGATAACTGCCAAAACTTGAAGAGGTAAGTGTGAAGTGACATTCTGAGAGTCTTTCTAATGCGTAAGTTTCTCTGTTCCTTCTTCCTAATGAAGAATTTTTAATTTGCATTGAAAAGCAGGAAATAAGTATTAATGACCAACTTCTGTAAGCTCCTGATGTTTTAAAAAGTCATCTTTATTGATAGGAGCTAATATAAAATATTTAGGAGGTATGTTTAATCTAAAGTGTTCCTTGAGCATTCCTGTTGCCATTTAATTTTAGTCAGAAAGCACAAAGCAGATGTATTGGCACAAGCCCACCTTTGCATGTGTTTTTAACTGGAGTTCTGGATTACAAAATGTGGCAGCTGATGGCTTCTGTCAGCCCTTCTGTGCCGTGAGGCCATGGGGGCTGGAAGCAGCATCCACAGCTGCTCTCACTGGAATACCTCTGTGCTCCTGACCTTGGGAAAGGTGACTGCCAGCTGATCTGTTCCTGATCCCAGACAGGGCTCTTGGAGCAGGTTAGTTCCTTGCTCCTTCTTGTATGCTGGAAGTCTCTTACATGGTCCTGTGATGGGAATAAAACAGATTAGGACTATCATGAAATAGGAGTAGTTCAATTTCTTAATGTCATTGCAGAAAGTTAGGTATGGTATTTGTGTAATTGGTCAATTAATGTTTTTATCCCACTTAAGGACTTTTTTATTTTGCAAAGAAAGGGGATAGCTGCCCTTGAAATAGTGTAATCGCCACCTGGCTTTGAGGTGTCCACTTACGTCATCTGTATTACTCCTGCATGCTTCGAGAGGGAAATAAAAACAACATCAAAAAGGAGAGAAAATAGAACACTATTTCCAAATTCAAGCTTCTTGTCCTGGTCTGTCAAATTTTTGTTAGGGTGGGAAGAGTACTTCAGAAGTGATTCTTTCAGCTGGGTATTTTAAATGTTAATTGTAATACATGTCGCAGCGGAATCACGTACTGACCCCATAGCAGTCAGGCCTTTGTTATCATTGGCACGCTGGTTCCCCTTTCCCTGACAAGCACAATTTGGCAGTGTTAACCTCCTGGTCCAGCAGACCAAGGAGGCTAGTAGGGATCGTCATGTTCGCTGCTAAAACATTGACTTCTGATCCCTTGATGAAAGGTCAGGGCCTTGAAGCAGGAGGCGGACAGACAGAGGCTTTCTTCTCCACAGGATGTAGTCACGGAATATGGCCATCGGTTTCCTGTTAATGTTAGTGCATCGCGTTATTCCTTTGGGCTCTGAAAGTCCAAGGACCTCCTGAGCTGTGCACGTGCTGCAGAAGCTTGGGTAGCTGAGTTACACATCAAGTCTGTTAGCGGCTTTATTCTGTAAAGCCAGGACAGATGTTCAGCTTTCATAGGATCTGATGGGGTCACTCTCACATGGTATGTGTCAAAATATTTCCCAAAACTAGGGTTTACTAGTACAAGAACCTAGAGCATAGAGATGGTGGTGTAGACAATGAGTAATAATTTACTCTGAAAGAAGTCAGGAGCCTCCATGTCTCATTTGGATCACTTTCTAACATAAATTTGAGCAAATTGGAGCCAGTGGTTACAATGCTGGTGTCTACACAAGTATGATCATTGAGAAAGGAACTGGATCTAGCAGCTGTGATTATTGGGTGAAGTAGAGGTCAAACATTTTCCCCAAAAGGGGGTACAAACAATCGATAGCTTTTGGTGTTGTGCTTTGTAAGGTGGGTTAATCCTTTTTGCCTGTGAAAAGTGATAGGAGACTTGCCAGGAGCAGCTAACTGCATTTTTCATAATACATATTTTCTTGTCTGTTCCAGCCTTACATATGTAAGTATGTTTTCATAACCTTTGCTTTGTTTTTTTTTAATCTTTTTGTGAAGGTAGGTAAGAGGAGTTACAGTAGATGCTTGTTTAGAAACAAAAATAACTGACTTTGGTTTTCCTTCACCAAGATGCCTCCAGTCTTACTGTTATGCAGGTTACTTGCTGGGTCTGTTGATGGGACTTGCTTTTAATGTATACTTTGCTTGCTGTTTTCCTGCTTGACGCAGATTTTTATCTTTTGAAATATCTTTTGCATGACAGGCTCACTGTATTCTGTGGACAATTTAACAGGCAATTTAGGGATCTGTGTCCCAACCATCGTTTAAAGATGTACAGGATGGCTTAAGCGATGTTTTTCTTGAATCTATTTTATGCACAGTCTTAATGACGTGTTTTTTCAAGAAATACTGCAAGATGCCATTCCCCCTTCAGAAAGGGAAGCCATTGCAAGCTCTGAAGCCACTGTGCAACTATGAAGATCAGGTCATAACCAGCTGTCCTATCAAGGTCTTCAGCCAAAAACTGGGGCCACCTGAGAATTGATGCATTAGCCTGGCACTGACATCCTTAAGAACAGCCAAATAATACACTGTGTTCCCTGTTTGCTGGATGTTCCTCTTGCTTGCACAGGTTTCCAGTGCAAAGCTAGTTGTGTGGGTGCTTGAATGCTTTGAATTGTAAGATCATTGTTACAAAGATACTTGCTGAAAATGTATGAACCCCATTTAAACAGAGGGAGTGAAAAACTTTACAAATTCTGCACCTAATAACAATCGGCAAACCAAATTATGGAGGGGTCTGGAGTGTGTCAAGGTCTAACCTCATATGAATGTGAGCAAAGGATGTCAGACCTGAATTTCCAGGGTGCTCAATAAACTACTGATAATCAAATCCAGTTTCACTGAAATCCTGCTTCTAACTCCTTTACCTTCTGCTGTGGGCTTTGTCTGTTGTGGTGGTGATGTTAAAGCCCTAAAGACTAAAATCTTTTCTATTATTTTTACAACTCCTGATTGTACAATTAAAATAAAGACTGTGTGATCATTTATGTTCCCAACGGATTAATTACTGTGCGAGTTCAGGCTAAATTTAGTAAAATTCTGTTACGGTATCTTGTGTTTGACAAATAGAAAGAAAAAATATCTTCTACGAGGTGGAGCAATGAAAACTGAAATAATTTAGATCTGGGAAACAGTGTTAGGTTCAACATGATTTTAGTCAGGAGAACTGAAACATTCAAAAGAGAATAAAACATTGATGTTGTTTCATGGTGCTCTTCAGTAATGATTTTAAACCACTTTTTTTAAGGAGAAACAGTTTCTGATTCACATCTTCATATTGCTGAGGCCCACTTTGCAACTGTTCTGTATTTGGAGGAAAAATGCCATTTAGATACTTCGAACGGCATTGGTTTGTAATTTCAAGTTCTGTGAAGAGGAAGAGGGGAAGTGTCTGGCTTAGTCTTTCATTGCTTCATCTCTTCTGGCACCCCAAAAGATGAAATATCTTTCCACTACAGATCCTCAGTAACTGGACCTCTAAAGTAGTTTGAGTCTTCCTTACCTCTAAGGAGGAAATGAAAGCACAGGAGTAAATGTCTGGGTGTGTAAGATGAATTTGCATGACTCTACTTGATGACTTTTATCTTGCAATTGTCTTTAACTGCTTTAGTAGCTATACATTTTATTAACAGTCTAATAGGTGCTTGTGTAGCTGAATTTTGATGTTTTTATCATATTTCTTAAATATATATTCTTTATTTCCTTCAATATTGCTTATATATCCATTATTTCTCATATGGATTACATTTGGACAAATAACAAGTGGTGTGTAAGTCTGGTCACTGTAAGCTCTCCTCATGTATTAGGCTATGGTTCACATATCAACTGTGAATGTTTGAGAAGCCCAGAAAAAAGCTAGAACTTCTCACTTAGTGGGGACTTTAGTAGGACGTAAGTCTCTTGCTTCCAATGCTAAACTGAGAGGGCTCCACAGGGTTGGTATGTGCTCACTAGGCTGCTGCACCTGGGCCCCACTGTGGAAGTCATTAGCGTTACTAAACCATCCCTCATGATCTGTATTTACTTTCCAAGTTTTCCAGTAATTAAAGCATATCTTTAAATGGAACTCCCAATCTCTGGATCCTTGGAGTGTAGAACAAACTTTTTGTAGGTCTGCAGTGTTCAAAGCACATGCTCAGACTCTGTAATAGGTTCTTCAAAGCAACGGTTGTTGCGTTAGTAGTCAGTGAGTACATACAGGTCTAGGTAGCAGAACAGATGTATACCTGCCTTTTCCCAACTCTGCCTAAAACATTCTGGAGCACTTCTGTGGCTCTGGTCAGTCTTCTAATGAGACCCACTTCCTACGTAGGGCTTCTTACTGCCTTCACAGGGTCAACTTCTCACTTCAGAAACCCTGCGTTGTTCTTCCCACCGCTAATGAAGACCCGTCCCTCACATAACACACTTCCTCTCCTCTGGCAAGAATCTTGGCATCAGTGTGCCTTAATTTTGGTGGGGTTTTGTAATCCCTCAGGGTGTGTGTGTGTTTGGTTTTTTTGAGACAAATCTTTAGCTCTTTGCCACTTGTTTTTACTTTGGGAAACTTCTAAGAGAAATCCAGAGAGCGGAGGAAACTGCCTTCACTTGAGCTTAAATTACTTAGCTTTGAATGGGAACCATTTCGGTTTAGTGCCCATTGCCTAGATAATTGTCTCCGAGATGTGGTGTGTGCAAGACAGCCCGTTGGGGTGCAGGAAGGGAATATTTTTTGTACCATTGAATAAAATAAATGTTTATTTCAACTTTCACATCCTTTTAAAAACTTCTATTTGCGTGTTTTATAATGTACGTAATATTAGTACATCTATATGAAATGGAATGAAATAAACATTCTGAAGGTGCATGCTCAAAATTCTTTTACTGGTAGGGGTGCCTGCTCAAAAAAAGAGGTTTGGAGCCGAGTGGTCTAGGAAATGCCTAGCAGGGCTGTAAGAAAGCTCACTGCGTACACGTGGCATTCAGTGATGGGGAGATCTGATGAGATTGACTGGCGTTTGTAGCTTACGGGCAGGTTCTCCTAGCTGTGCTTAGGAACCTTACCATCTTCTCCAGTTCAGTGAGGGGTCACGTGTCTGTTTAACATGGTAAAAGCGTAACAGGGAAAAGACATCTCAATGTGCAGCAAGTACTGAAACAGCAGAAGACAGATTGTGTGAAATGTCTTCCCCCAGTTTAGTGTGTTTCAGTAGTATGGCAGTTCCAAATCTTTTTTTTTTGGTTCAAGCAGATCTGTTCTTCAGCAGTTTTCATGCTGAAAACCCATCTGTTACTGGGAACCACGTAACCATGCTATTGAGTTGAACGCAAGGACGTCAGTGAGACACCTATGTAGGTGCTTGTACGGTGTCAACCCACTGAGGAATAGCAGCCGTTTGCTGAAGAAATGTCACTGTAGCATCTAACAGCTGTGTGAGCAGTGGAGGGCTTTCTGCAGCTACGAAAGAAGGAATCTCGCTATGTGATACGAACAATGTAGTTTGTTACGCCAGACATGCTATAGAAAAAGCAATTCTTCTCTTAGAAATCTTTAAAAACCAACAAATGAGCCTGAACTTCAGTCTCCTTTTAGGACCAGTCCTGGGAAAACTCATCCAATTCTCATCTCTTTGAAATCCAAGTCAGTCCTGACAGATCACGTATGATATGTAATGCTCACTGACTTATAAGGAAACTGTCCAAATGACTGGCCAAGCTGCAGAGTTCATTGTTTGAGAAGTCTTCAGTACCAATCTAGCAGAATCAGCCAAGTATAGATACTTGTTTCAAGAAATTCAGTAGGGAGTTCTTACTGTGTGATTCATAGTTGTATGCCATTTCTTTAGTTAAATTGAAGAGAAATCACTTGGAGCTTCAAAACTGAGAGATTGTACTAGCTTTTTTTTTCTTTTTTTTTTTTCCCTTTTTGTTAACAAGACCATAATCTGATTTGTGATATGGGAACCAATAGTATTCATGGTTCTAAAATAAGGTGCCACAGTATGAGCGCTTGTTTTCATATCCTGCAAATGCTTGAGTGTGTGCTTTTGGAATAGTTTGTAAGGACATAGTGACACCAGTTCCAACATTTTTCAGTAAAAAGATGCCCCAAAATTTCCATGCTTCTGCACTGAAAGATTCTTCAGAATCACATAGGGAATGTTAGTTGTTGATGCCAGAAGAAGAAACCTTGAAAGGCTGTCCTGATGAAGAGATGTTTGTGATTCCTCTTCTCCAAAGAGAATTGATTTGTAAATTGCAAGGGAAGTGAACTTAATTCTACTGAAGATATAAGGTATGATGCAGAGGCAGTAAACTCACGGAAAAACTTTGTTGAATTCGTGTGACCTAAGAAGTTCTCAGCATCCTGTTATTCATGTATTATTGTATGTATGGCAGGCAACCCAAAGTTATCTTGACGAATGTGCTGAGGACGAAAATTGGAAGAAAATACACGCAGGCACAGCTTAGAACTGGTGCTAATTTTTCTGATGCTGGCAAGCTTCTGTCAGATCAACCACCCTCATCGTCTGCTGCCAGCCTAAAGATATGGCAAATTTTAAACCCTACTCTTCAAACCCTTTTTCTGTCTAAAAGGTATGTTGTCTTTACTTCATGTCACTGAACAAAGTAATTTTCCTTGCTGTTGTTCTTTTCACGAGAAAGTATTTTGTTTTTCCACAGCTGTCTTGTTCATGAACTATATTCTCATGTCATCTGACTTGATTGAATTCCCTTGTACTTGGTTACTTTTGATCATTGAGAGAGATGATGCCAGCCACACTGTAGTGGACTCTGATCGGGTGGATTCTAGTTGGTCCTGTACTGTCAAAACCAACTAATTCTGATTCAGCCATTGGACTTTCAAAACTTTTTTTTTTAATTCTTGGAAGAGTCCACTTGCATTTAACTACCCTCTTTTATCAGAGGAGGTATGAAGGTGTATTTTCACTGTTAACTGTTTCAGACTGTTTACTATTTCAGAAAATACGAAAACAGGCATCAAGGGTCAGAAGAAAAGCATATCAAGTCCAGTATCTTCCTCTCCTCCAAGTAGTTGTCCGTTCCAGATACCCAGGGAAAAGTATGACTAAAGTGAATGCTTTTTTCACTGAATTTTCTCTCTGAGCTGATGAGCACCTGTGCTGTGGGGACAGACTGAGGGAGTTGGGCTTGTTCAGCCTGGAGAAGAGAAGGCTCCGGGGAGACCTTATTGCAGCTTTCCAGTACTTGAAGGGGCCCACAAGAAAGCTGGGGGAGATGACACGTCTTACAAGGGTCTGTAGTGACAGGACAAGGAGTAACGGGTTTAAATTGAAAAGTGAGGAGGTTTAGATTAGATATTAGGAAGAAGTTCTTCCTGGAGAGGGTGGTGAGGCACTGGAACAGGTTGCCCAGAGAAGCTGTGGATGCCCCATCCCTGGAAGTGTTCAAGGCCAGGCTGGATGATGCTTGGAGCAGCCTGGTCTAGTGGAG